TTCCGTCACAAAATCCGTCACAAAATTCAATAAATTCTATTTCGTCACAAAACTTAAAATTCCCTCACAAAATGCGTCACTATTAGCGATGCTATTTTTTCCGTCACAAATATTAATTTTTCTAGTAGTGCCCTCCATTAACACCATTAAACTATGGTTATACTCCCCTTCCTTTAAAATATTAAAACTTATAAATAGATTGTATATAAAATAATAAAATAAACATATTTCTCCAAATCCAAATATAAATAAAATAGAATATATAAAATAATTATAATATAAACACATATTTTCTAAAATATATTTAATTACATAATTAATTAAAATATATATTTTCTTCAAATATTTTCTATAACAAAATAAATTCACAAACTAATAAATACTCAGTTATTTAAAGCTTCTAAAATATTCTCTAAAACTCATTTAATTAATTAAAACATCCTTTTAATAATTTTAGAAAACTTGAGATGTTACACTTTGAGCAAATGGAAATTCACTCCAAGTGCTCACAACTTGCTCTAAGCGAGCTTAGACAGAGAGCATCTTTAGGAGATGTGATTAGCTTGTTTAAGCAAGCAAGTTTGTGCTTTGTGTGATGAAAATTCGCTCAAAGTAACCAACGAGCGCCCCAAGGGAGCCAAGTTAAAGAACACCCTTGAAATGGCCACCCCAGCTCGTTTAAGCGAGTGAGTTCTCACTCTAAGCTATAAAAATTCCCTTAGAGTGACTAAGTAAGTGCTCCAAGTAACCCAAGTCAAAGGCCAACTCTAAGTGAGCAAGCCTAGAAAACATGCATGTCTTAAGAACAAGTTCAACAACTTAAAATTCTCTCTTCCAATTTCATGAATCATGCATTTGACCCAGAATCCACCACATACTAGCATTATACAAATAATAAATTGAAAGAAAAGCAACATACAACAACAATGGACCACAAGATCATCAATTTTTCTCCCTTCACCAACAAACCCCAAGAACAAAGAACTCAAGGTTCTACCTTTCAATTTTCAACTTATATGCTTTCAAAAGCATGAATCACAAGAGTAAAATCAACAAATAGAATTTAGAAAATCAAACTACAAGTTTCTCTTACCTTGAATCACTCAAAAACAAGAAAAGGAAAAAAGAACGACGAAGAATGAAGGCTTCCCAAGAGTTTGCCATGTGACAACCTCGACCTTTGATTCTCAGTTTCTAACTTTGAATCTCTAATCGAACACCACGACTTTGCTATAAGGAAGTATTGAGACGTTTCTATGGAGTTAAAAGAAGAAAAGAACTCTTTTAGTTCTAGAGCCTATCTTTGTAAATTTCTCTCTAAATTTTCTTAGAATATGAACTTATAGAATTCAAGTCTGAATAAAACCTTAAATATCTTTCCTTCAAACTTGGTCAACTTTGATCTCAACTTAAAACAATCCGAATAACAACGTAACTTCAAGGATCTCTTGATCCTTATAAAATTCTAAAACAATTATAATTACAATATAATAACATTTAAAATAACACATATCATATATTTAAATAATAAATAATAAAAACATGCGGTGTTACATTTGTAATCCAAATTTTCTTATCTTTTCACGTCATAAAGCACAAAAATAAATAACTAATAGTTACTTTCCCAATATCTATGTATAGACACCAAGCGAAAACCAACTCGCACTAAACCAAAAGGTGTCATGATGTGTTTTGAATTGGGAACAAATCTCTTTTAAGGAGAAAAAACTTGAGATTCTCAAGTGTGAAAATCTCACAATTAATTCTTAATTTTAAACTTTCACTTAATAAAAATATAGTATTATATTAATAAAATTTATTGGAGGGTTAAGATCTGTGATAAAAACAATGAAAAGATTAATTTATTCCCGTTTTGAATAAATAAAAGTACCCTTTTAAAAAGTTATACTAATGAATGTTCCATCTGTAATAAAATTAATAAACAATTTCTGTACTAAAAAAAAAGTTTCCTGTACCAAAATAAAATTAATAAATAATTTTTTTATTAAAAATCATAATTTTTTTTTGGTAACATTAGTTATTTTTAAAATTACACTTATCTTCTTATAATTTCTGATCTGCAATTTTTGTTAAAGAATTGTTAGTTGACCGTTAATAAATTTCAGTATTAAATATTAATACTAAATATTAATATTAATCAAATTATTACGATATTAAATATTAATATTTTAAAATAAACTAAATATTAATATTTTAAAATAAATTATCAATAAATATACAAAAAATTATTACGATATAAATTATTTACCATAAATTTAAAATATAATTTATATTTAAAAATATTTATGTATATTAATTTTCAATATAATTTATATATTCAAATATAATATTTATTTATATACAATTTATTATAAAATTCAATTATACAATAAAACATGCATGAGTATCGTAAAATATTAGCATTATGTACTAGTTTCTTCATCTTTTTCTATTTTATATATCTCTTTCCTAAAAGCACCGACCACCTATAAGATTCTAAACATTTAATTACTATTTTTAATAAAAGAAGGGGGAAAAAAACTACGTAAGATTATGGAAAAGAGTAATAATAACTCTTCATTCCCGGCGAAGAAAGGAATTTCTAATTCGTCATTTCAACTTAAAATTTCATAACGTTTTATATTCAAATATATATATATATATAATTTATTATATACTAGAGGGATTGAGACACTTCGTGTCTTTAATAATTATATACAATAAATATATTAAAAGATTGTATGTAGTTATTTAGAGAATATATGATTTTTTTTTTATTTGAAAGGTATAATGGTCTGCTAAAAAATGGAAACTAAAAGCGGTTACATACTTTACTATTCCCTTTATAATATGTATAGATGTATAGATAATGAACATGTATGTTTATTGTACTAGTTAAAATACTAGATATATATTTATATTTATTGTATAAAATATATCAAATAATAAATTATATAATTAATTTATTAAAATATTATTTTTATTAAGTAAATTTATTATTTCTTAAGTTTCAAATAAATTAGCATTGTATAAAAAATTTAAAAAAAAAACTGACTCATGTAATAATATTATATATAACTAATAAAATCAAGACACTCCCTATTTTTATATTTTATTTAATAAAAATATTTAAAAATTATCAATATTTATTAAATTAAATAATGTTATCTTTAACTCTCAAATCTTAAAATTTTGATCTCAAGTCTTATATTTAAAAAAATATTAATTTTTAATATTATTTTTATTATTTAAAAATTTAAAGATAAAATCACTTTAAAGAAACATTTACACCAAATTAGACCATAAATTTCAACCCTAGTAGTTTAGATAGTAAAACTTATAAAGAGAGTCTCGGTTCTGGTTATTATAACACTAGTACAAAAGACCCCTTTTATGTCGGGCATTTAAAGCCATTTACGTCGAAAAAGCATCAGACGTCATTACGGGAGACGTAAAATTTACGTCGGGGGTCAAAAACCGACGTAAATTTACGTCGGACACACAAAGGCCCGACGTAAAAAATCGTAAAAATTTAAAAAAAAAAGAAAAATAATGCAGCAGAACGGCCCGTTCTGCTTGGAGAACGGCCCGTTCTCCTTGCAGGACGGGGCATTCTGTTTGGAGAACGGCCCATACTGCTTGGAGAACGGGCCGTTCTCCTAGGCCGTTCTCCAAGCAGAACGGCCCGTTCTGCTTGATAGACCCAGGCAGTGGTCACTTCCTTCTGCAGCTTCACAAACACGAAATGCAACACAAACATTATTACGAAAAATACATCCCAGAAAACACAAACATCGGTTAAGGAGTGGTCACTACCTCATAGAAAAACAGATGGATGTATGGTTAAGCCATTTCCATCAACACGCGAAGAAGAAACAACGCAACTCCGAAGAAGAAAAACAGAAAAACGTGAAGATGAGGAAGACAACCACGATTTGAGGAGGAGGCGGAGGGATGAGGAAGAATCCACAACGCACGGGAGAACGTGAAGATGAAGAAGAATGCCACGATTTGAAATCTGTAGTACGCGTCCTTCATTTAAGGAGTTATTTACGTCGGACCCATCTATGTCCGACGTAAATTTCCTCCTCTTATTTACGGAACTGCCACCGCGTTTTTACAACGTCGGGTGTGCTAGTTTCCAACGTAAATGAAGAGACGTAGTAACTCCTTTTTCCACTAGTGTAAGGGGACTAAAAATCAATTTAGCCAATTTTTTTTATTATAATTTTTCAATTTTAATTTCTTAATTAATGTTTAAATGGATCCAACAATATCACGTGATCCACAAAACAAACACGTATTACTTGAATCACCCAATTAATAATAATAATAATAATAATAATAATATTATTATTATTATTATTATTAATTAATTAATTAATGTTGTAAGACTAAAATACTGGTCATCATCGATTCTTATGATTCTGGTTAAAAGTTGTCGGTTCCATTATCTTCGTTTAAGTTACTACTAATTTATATATCAATGATTTTTAACTCCCACTATTTCAAAACTCAAAACAAAGATTTTAACAAACGCGTGAAATTATTAATTGTATTATCTCTCCATGAATCATGCACTCAAATGAAAATGACTCATAAAAAAGAAGAAAAAAAAACCTCAAATGCAAACGTAACGTTATCTGTAGAATTAGCTTAATAAATTTCCACAAACACCAATAACTACAGTTCCCCTCTACAACAACTTATGGTGCCTTTACGGTACAATCCCAAAATCCTTCGGTTTGTATTTTCATATTAGAAGATGTTTCAAACCAAGGGACATGAAGTAAATTTAGAACTCTTGCATTTCTATAAATTCATCAATGTTTCTATGAACCAAGTGCACATCAAGCGATCAAATTTCATTTTCATGGCTGCCACAACTCACATAGCCATAGTCACGGTCCCAGTATACAGCCATCTACGTTCAATTCTCGAGTTCTCCAAGCGACTAGTTCATCTCCACCATGACATCAATGTCACATGCATCAACCCTACATTTGGTTCACCTTGCAACAACACCAAATCCCTTTTCGATTCTCTTCCCTCAACAATTAACTACATGTTCCTACCACCAATAAACTTGGAGGACCTTCCACATGACACTCACCCCGCAATCCAAGTTCAAGTCACCATCTCTCGTTCTTTACCTCTAATCTATGATGCATTGAAGACACTGCATGCTAGCAGAAGACTCGTTGCAGTCATTTCTGATGGTTTGATGTCACAAGTGTTGCACTTTGGCAAGGAACTTGATACCTTGTCCTACACGTATTTCCCATCCACAGCTATGTTACTATCACTATGCTTGTATTCTTCCATGCTAGACAAGACAATTTCTTGTGAGTACAAAGACCTTTTAGAACCTATGGAGATTCCTGGTTGCATTCCTATTCTTGGGACTGATCTACCGGACCCTCTTCAAGATCGATCAGGTGTAGCATACAAGGAGTTTCTTGAAGGTAATGAAATGCTATATTTTTATTTACTTTTTGGTGGCAACAATAACTAGGGCCTTGGGCTTCTAAGCGAGGAGAAATTAGTAAATAGTGTTTGAAATTTTGTCTATATCATCTCAACCCTAAAATTGTTAAACCCAAGATATATTCTTTACTATTGTTGAAATCCAACAACCCAAAAATGGCTTAGGAGAGATAAGATAAATCAAAATTTTCAAACTCCTTAAGTGAAAATATTAAATTTTTAAATACTAAATTTTATAGTGGACATTTAATATTTTTTTCAATTATTGAATATTAAAACATATTTTTAAAAATATTAAATATTATTTAATATCAATTTTTAAAATTTTTAAATACTAAAAAAATGAATAATATTTAATTTCATAAGATTTAATATTAAAATTTTAATATATATATATATGTGTGTCTTTAAAATCAATTTTGTCAATGTAGAAAATCAAATCGTCCTATCCAAATTATAAATTTAAAATTTCAAAAATTTAAATTAATTTGTTCAAATAAAATATTTAAATAATGATAGAAAAAAATCAAAATAATTTAATTTTAAGAATATTAAATTTTTAAAATTCTTCATCTAAACACACTAAAATTTCCAAATTAATTGATAACATCCGAAAGTTTGTCACGTGGAAATAATTTAAGATCGATCATCCTAGTAAAAAATCATGTAATAATTTCATTCCGGTGAGACTCCAAAATATCACAATAACCTTTGATCTTTTTGGGTTAGATACGAGAATAATCATGAATATATCAATCTAATAGTATATTGGTTAACAACTTTTTGTTTGAAGGTAATGAAAGGTTCTATTTAGCTGATGGTATATTGGTCAATAACTTTTATGAGATAGAAGAAGAGACCATAAAGGCCTTACAACAAGAAGAAGGAAGAGGAATCCCTTCTGTTTATGCAATTGGACCCTTTGTGCAGCAAAAGGTGGCATGCAACGACGAAAGTGACAAAGAATGTTTGAGATGGTTAGACAAGCAACAACACAGTTCCGTCTTGTATGTTTCTTTCGGAAGTGGTGGCACACTTTCTCATGACCAAATAAACGAGCTTGCTTTGGGTTTGGAACTAAGTGGCCAAAGATTCTTGTGGGTGTTAAGACCACCAAACAAGTTTGGAATCATTAACGACATTGGTGCTAAAAATGAGGACCCTTTTCAGTTTTTACCAGAAGGGTTTCTGCAGAGAACAGAAGGGAGTAGTTTGGTGGTTCCTTATTGGGCATCTCAGGTTGAAATCCTAGGTCATGGTGCGATTGGTGGGTTCCTATGTCACTGTGGTTGGAACTCCACGCTTGAAGGTGTTGTGCTTGGGGTTCCACTCATAGCATGGCCACTCTTTGCGGAGCAAAAGATGAATGCTGTTTTGCTGACAAATGGTTTGAAAGTGGCTCTTAGGGTTAAGGTGAATGAGAAGGGTATAGTGGAAAGGGAAGAGGTAGCTAGGGTTATAAAGAATCTAATGGTGGGTGAAGAAGGGGAAGAAATTCGTAAGAGAATGAAAAAGTTGGAAGATGCTGCTGCTAATGCGTTGAAGGATGATGGATCCTCAACAAGAACCCTAACACAGTTGGTGCACAAATGGAAACGTTTAACTTTGGGAGTTGCATGATGTACTAATAAAGTCTAAGGTGTAACTTCTATTTCCGAGTATTCTCTGTAATATAATGATGAGAATTGAGAATGACATTCTCGAGTACATTAAAATAATAATGTATTTAATTAGTGATAGAAATATTTTTATGAAAATGAATACGAAAAAAGTTAATTAAAATAAATAAGAACAAAATTTTTGATTATCATGTCATGGAAATTAATTTATCCACCTTTTCTCTTGAGAATAAAATTATGAGAATATGAAAGTAATTTTATTTTTGAAAATGATCTACATTTAGGAATAAAATTTGTAACCTTTAACCAACGTGGGAAAACGTATTTCTTATTCATTTATTTCCAAAAATGTTCGAAGGATAACTTGAAATAAATGTCATCTAAAATTTTTTGCACAATTGATTTAACCATGTTATATTAATGGAAAGACGTGCTTCTATGTATTTTTTTATTTTTGGAATTAAAAATGGGTTCTTATATAGTTGTTATTTTTTATTATTATTTTTTTTATCAATATAACTGATGTTGGAGGATAAGAATTGAAATAAAATAGTGAGAATAAAAATCAAAGGATTAAACAAAAGAGAAGGAAACCGAATATGAAATTGGATGTCGAGAGCGTGAATGGGAGAGAGAAAACTGAAAACCTTTGTTTTATAACAGTATTGTAGTTGATCATAAAATTAGGAAAAAAAACATGTGTAAACCAACAAAGTATATTGTATTTATTATTTTTTTAGATGTCTATTTTGTAAGTTTTATGATTTTCTAATACATCAATTATAGAAAATTAAAAGGATCTTTGAAATTCATGATATTCACATAATAATAATAGGCCTGAGCATCGGTCGGTCACGGTCGGTTTCGGACCAAAATTCTTAAAATCATCCGAAACCGATTAAGAAAAATCAGGAGCCATTTCCGACCGACGAAGAACTCGTGTTTTAGCGGGTTCAATCCGTGCGGGTTACGGGTTCATCGGATGGATTCATCGGTTTGAGAAGCTTCCTCTAGCGTCTCGTGCCGCCATCCTTCGTCACTCTTTGCCGGTCTCTGTTACTGCTTCATTTGGGGGAAATCACGGAGTTTCAGATCTCCACATCACCACCTTCATCAACCAGAACAGGGAGCTTCTCAGCGGCGGTAGCCATGGCAGGAATAAGTTGAAGAAAAGAGGATGTTTACGGAGTGAAGAAGAAGAAGAAAGAAGACACTGTGAAGAAGAAGAAAAAAGCAGAAGAAAGAAGACGGAGTGAAGAAGAAGAGGAAAGAAGACGGAGTGAAGAAGAAGAAAGAAGACGAAGTAAAAGAGACGGAGAAAATAAACGGTGAAGACGAACGGTCGGATTCGGGTGCATCGGATGAGAAAATTCTAACACCGAATCCGACCGTTAAAACCCGTTTGAACCCGAAATTTGCTTCAGAAAAAATCCGAAATACCTGAGAATTAATCCGCTTCACCCGATCTGATCGTCGGTTTGGCCGGTTTCGGATCGGCCGGAAGTTTTTGCCCAGGCCTAAATAATAAGAAATAGTATGTATCTTTCTCCATAATGCAAATCTCTTTTGATCCTTAAAGTACTTTAATCTTTTTGAGAAGAGAATCAAGATTTCACTCCCTTTGATTTTTCTTACTACTCTCTCTATCTTTCGTGATGACTAGAGTTTGAGAGAATATTTTCTATCAAGGGTGTGGACCTTAATTTACATTAGTGGATATTTATAACCCCTAAAGATTGTTATTCCTATCAAATAACAATTATTCTCAAAACTGCTTCATTAAGCCCATTTATGATTTAGTCCCTAATTATTTAATTATTTATTTATTAGTCCCTTTATACATCACATGTTTCTCACATGAGACATAATTATCTTACATATTTATTATAGATATAAATTATATAATTGTTTGCGGTGAAATTTGTTTATGAATTCTTTTTATTCGAGCTAGCAAAGTTTTCAATTTAGGTATGTATATCAAGTGAAGTTTTCTATGTAGCTAACTTCTATATGTTATTAACGTGCAAAAGCTTTCTTGAATGAAGCTCACGTGCACCAAATACAATGATTTAACCAATTAAACCAATCAAGGCTCAATTTTAACATTTTTTTAACATGTAAAGATTTCTAGATGCTCTTGGTGACTATCATGAAACGAGATTCATACATATAGACATTTAAATGAATTGAATGAACAACATATAAGTGTGCATGGGAGCCATGAACGTAGGCAATATATGTATATAAGTGTGTAAGTATTGAATTTTTGACCTCCTGAAATGGGCCTACCTCGCTTATTTATAGAGGATAGGGAGGAGTAGATACTTTTGCATTGGTTCGACGTGGTATGTGTAACCGCTCCACATTATGCGACGTGGATAACCTTTCTCAACTGTTCTTAACTTCCCGCAACTACCTGCTGCATTTTTCAATTCTCGAGTAATTCCTTCAAGGTCTTCAAGTTTAATTTCGAGAAACGGTTAATATATATCAATCCCTTATGGTCCATAATCGTCCTGCTACACTAGTGGAAAAAAGGCTTTTAAAATCGGTTATTTTCAACTTTTAAAATCGGTTTCGTAATCAATTTTAAAAGAGTTGATTTTAAAAGTTAACTTTTAAGATCGGTTGTTTTATAACCGATCTTAAAAGTCCTGGCTGCGAAAAAAATTAAACTGGAATGGGCCGTTCCAGGTTGTTAAAATGGCCTAAAAAGATAGTGTGGAATGGGTCATTCTAGCATAGTTTGACATAAGTTTAACCAATCCAGAACGGACATCAAAACGGCCCGTTCACCTTGCAGAACGACCCGTTCTCCCTAAAGAAAGGGTTGTCCTCCTTGCAGAATGGTCCGTTCTCCCTGAAGAACGACATGTTCTCCTTGTAGAACGGCCTGTTCTCCTTGTAGAACGGACCGTTCTAGATTCAAAATTTACCCAAAATTGAACCTACAACGAAAATAGAGACAAGAGAAGAGCATGAGAAAACGAAAAGAAATACAAGAAGAGCATGAGAAGATGAAAACGACAACAAAATTTACCTTATTGGAAACTTTAGAAAATGAGAGCGCGAGAGAGTAAAAAAAGGAATGGAGGGAAAAATTAAAGAGAATGAGAATGGAGGGAAATATAAAAGGTTTCTGACGATACTTTTAAAATCAATTATTTAAGAACCGATTTTGTATACTACATACAAAATCGGTTATGAAATAACCGATTTTAAAAGTAGCACTTTTAAAATCGGTCATAAAATAACCGATCTTAAAAGTGTTCATATTATTTACAAAATTGCCACCGCGTCACTTTTAAGATCGGTTACCTTGTAACCGATCTTAAAACTCCGATTTTAAATTCAATTTTTGCACTAATGCTAGTCACGCGAATGTAGGTAACCTCCTCGAACCGCTTATAACTTCTCTTCTTTGATTTGTCGAATGATCCTTTGAGAGTCCTCCAATTACTTCAAAATTTAACGATTTTACCCCAATAATATATATATATATATATATATATATATATATATATATAT